ATCAAAATCAATTCAACTTAAGATTTAATTATACATAATAATTAATTGGATAATTTAATCGATTTATGAGACTAGTTATTAACTGGACTTTGATTAATTTTATAATCAATTAATTAATAGATTAATAAATTGATTAATTAGGTTAATTGAAACAATTATGTAATGATTCAAACTGTCCTAACAGACAAATCATATTATACAGAGAAATATTTGTTAAGTATAAACATTTAACTTGTTATATTGTATTATTATTATTTTATGTTTAATAAAATATAAAGTTATGTTTGCAAATCAAATTTAAATAAATTAAAATATGGTTTAAATTGGCTTACGTCAAAAAGAGCCTAATAAAGAGTTAATAATTAAATTCTCTAGTTGATTAAATTATCCTGATTACAGCTGAGGGAAAAATCTAAAAAATAGAAGATTTTTATTCGATGGTACTAAGAACGTGTTTTCTTACTTCAAAGTTTTTCTCTTCAAGTAGAACAAACAATTGTTTTCAAAAGTAAGAAAAGTATCATTTTTAGAAAAATGCATATTTTTTTGTTTATAAAAAAAACGTTTCTCAATGTGAAAATACAATATAATATATATATCAGTATAAATAAATATATCATTGATACCTAACGAATGAACATTTTTCCCTTCAGTATATACGATGAGTGATTAATTTTGTTGATTGATTCGGTCGAACAAAATTTCAGTCAATTAATGCCTAACACTGACCCTGGCTTAGCCTCGCGAGAGCGTGATGGGGCCCCAAATATTCACGTAACGCAACGATTGAAATGCAGAAAGCGTAATGCAATGTCGCGTTTATATCTCGCATCTCTCTCGCTGTGACGTGAACGCATAACGTGATGTAAACGCAGCGACGTCCTTTTGTTTTCTGTTAAGGCAGAAATTTCCGGATTCGCGCGCGCGCGCGGCGTCCGTGAAGGGTCGTTTGCAATTGCCGCCGGTGGCTCGCGACAATCAGGACGTATCGGCTCCGTGGGCAATCAATCGACATTCCACGTGTCGCTGCGAATAATTCCGCCGTTGAAAACATGATCACGCGCGCAGACCGTATCCGCATTTAAAGTCCGTAAATAATTAGCGCGATTAGCGCGCGTTCCGTTGACACGCCCGGTCACGGCGACGGTCACGTGCGTGTGTATCGAGGTCTGACGTCACAGGCGCAATCCGCCTGATATTCAGATGCGTACGTTTCGACGATTGCATCGGCGAAGGAAGATTGCGGGCGAGTTAATCAACAACGCGAGAAGCGCGTCTGATGAGCGAGCGCGTGTTTAGGGACACGCGAGTGTACATAGCGGATGCACCGTACGCCGATTCACGTTATATCATAGTGAGAGTACGACGTTTAACACTGACTTTCTTCGGATGCCGCGGTCAATTTAAACGCGCTTTCCATCGGCGCGAGCAGCGACGGATCAATCGTGCACGCGTCTAAAAGAGATCATCCGGATGTTCCGCGGGCTGAATGTATCAAGATGCACGGAGAGACGAGGTCTCTTAGAGGACTCGTGCTGCTTACTTTTCTCTACCTCTCCGCGTCTCGGCCCGACATTTGTCCCTCTCTTTCGAGTCGCGTTTGCGAGGTGAAAAACGAGTCGTCTTTTCTCTCTTCGGACAGACAAGTAAATTCAACGGCAACTTTACTACACTTAAATGAAAAATACCTGAAAAATAACAGATATTTATTAACATAATTACTTATACTAATATAAAATGTTTTTTTAAATAACAATATACATATTTTCTTAAAAATTCTTAGCTTCTCATAAAAGCAACTGTTTATTCGATTAAAGGATTTAGATTTAAGTTTTATTTTTTTATATAGTATAATATATTCTTTGTATAAATATACTATATAAACTATATAAATAGTTATATTTATTTTTCTCTTAGTGTACCTGATATTTGCAAGTTGTGTCTCTTTTATATGGCACTCATATTTATCAGTGCTGGATATTAATCGATTAAATTTTTCTTCAACTAAAATAATCGTCAAATTAATGATTAAAATAAATAAATCGTTATAGATACAATTACAAATAATTTGATCTAATGTTGAAATTAATTATTAATCAAACTAAGGTACTAATTAATAATCAAATCAAAGTTGGTCAGTAATTAATTTCATCAATCGATGAAATTATTTATGATTTTATATATATATATATATATATATATATATATATATATATATATATATAACGATTATCTTTTTGTTTATTAATTTGCCAATTTAGTAAAAGAAAATTTTAATCGATTAATTCCGAACATTAATGTTTATTATATAGATTAATAAGATAAAAATACGAAAAAATCGAAAAATACAGTCAAAATTTACTAAAAATTTATACAAGTCCCTTCTCTGTATTAAAATTTTCTAAATTTATAAAATTCAGAAACTGATGGATGAATTCGGGAAATTTAGAAAATTTGAAGAATACACACACAGAGAGAACCTTTAAAGAATCGCGCTCGCGTGTTATTCGCGTCACAGTTTCACCTTCTATTGTTTATCTGACGGCCCATAAATATAACAGTTATCTCTCTTTCTCCTCTATCAAATATCTAACGATTATCGTGGCGTCAAGTCTCCGAAGTTCTCCATTGGATTAGAAAGACTTTTCACCGCTGCAATTCGACGTGTCCTCCATGGCATTCGTCGTCGATCTGCGACGACTCACGATCGTTTCTTCGACTCACGATCGATTTTACCCGGGCGGCGCGAGATGCCGGAGGAAACCTCCGGCAGTGGTATTGCTTACTTGTGCGAGGCCTGTCTTAGAACAGGTTGCGGGCTTAATGGGTCAGCGAGCAAACGCGTGTTCTCCAATCACCGTGTGGGATTGATCGGGCGAGAACGCGCGAGTTTGCCGCGCGCACCTATCGTGTAAATAACAATCGAGAATAAACGGCGGAAAATAAGCGTCTCGTAATTGAGCAAATACTCGTTTGGGAGGGGGGGAGGGGGCAAGGGGCAGAAGGGGCCCGACGTGACACATCTCTCCTCCGTTGCGTCTTCTGCGCGCGACGAGTATTATTCTTACTTTCGCGATACTTCGCCGACGACGTCCTACGAAGAAAGGCGACACGGTATTGTTGAAGACGTGATAATAACGCGCACATAGATATTAATCGAATAGAAAAGATAATCGAACACCGTATTGCGACATTTAATTGAAAGACACGATATCGCGTGTTATTATAAACAATTACTTGAATAAGATAAAAAGAAAAAGATGTAATGAAATTTTTTTGCGTTAGTTATTGTCATAAGTGCGGCAGTGGAATATCTTTGAAGATTTCAACAGATATTTTTATTTCTAGATCCATTTCTAGATTATTCCACTTTCGTTAATTATTATCAAAGACACAACATCTTCGAGAATCTTAACAGATATTCTTGTTTCCAGATCTTTTGTGTGTTATTGTTAAAGGTGTAACAGTGAAAGATTTTAAAAAATTTTAAAAAGTTTTCTTATTGCGTTAATTGTTGTTAAAGACGTTGTAATGAGATATCTTTAAAGATCCTAACAGGTTTTCTTATTTTTAGATCTTCTTTTTGCATTAATTATTGTTCTTGAAATCGTAATAGTGAAATATCTTTTAAAAGTCTTGATATCCTTATTTTCAAATCTTTTTGCGTTAATTATTATCAAGGACGTAATAATAAAATATCTTTAAAAATTCTAACAAATATTCTTATTTCTAAATTTTCTTTGTGTGTCAATTATCGTCTCTAAGTCCCGATAATGAAACATCTTTTAAAAATCTTGACAGATATTGTTATTTTCAGATCTTTTTTGCGTTACTGTTAAGACTATAAAGACGTAACAGTGATATATCTTCAAAGATCTTAATAGATATTCTAGATTTTCTTTTTACGTTAATCATTATCCAAGACGCAGAAACGCGATATCTTTAAAGATCTTAGGAAATACTCCTATTCCCAGATTCTTTACAGACGGAACCTTTACAAATACATACGTACGCAGAAAAAGAAAATATTCTTGTGTGGAGAATATCATTATCCTTGACATTTTAAAAATTAGATTAATATTAAAATGAGATTATATGGCGTTGAACAAAGACAAATTAGATTTTAATCAAGATGAATATAGTCAAATTAACACATTCATTTTCTCATATATCACCAACAATATTGATTATCTTGTTGATCATATTGATTGCAAATCTTGTTTATATATGAGAAAATTATTGTGTTAATTTAACTATACTCGTCTTAATTGAGGACTAATAACATATAACCAAGACTATTAATATTGTAATATTCTATGAGAAAATAATTGTGTTAATTTAACTATATTCGTCTTGATTGAAGATTATAATTTATCTTCGTACAACGCCATGTAATCTCATTATAATCTTATTTTCAAAATGTCAGCAATAAAGATATTCTCTTCTAAGATATAAACAAGAACATTCTTTATTTCTGCGTCATATACCGGTCACGTGAGCGATACAATAATCTCGCGCTCACAACGGTTCGCATGCCGATGATATCGTACGCGCGTACAATTGAAAATTGCCCGTCGCCGAAAATGGTAGCACGCTGGAAGCGGAGAAAAAAAATTCGTCGTTCGTGCGAGTAATCGTAACGATCAGGCGCGCGCACGCGAGCAAGCGCCTAATTCCGTATTCATCCTTCTCCACCCTGGACAGAGAGAATCGGAGGTCACGTCGCATAAATAACTCCGACAGTCAAAGGGTTAATTGTCGCCGGGCCGGCTATAGTTAATGCTTATAGTTTAATGTCCGTCCCTCAGCGGGGAAGGTCGCGATCGCCTCGAGGGCACGTAACTTTACGACGTGACCCGCATTAATAATCGCGCCCTCCGCTCTGTCCCCCACTCTGCCCTCCCCCGCTCCTCCTCCATCCCCCCTTCCCTTCCTCTCGATGCGATGTAAAACGGCGGTCACGTTCCGATCTCACTCGGCTCTTTCCTTATCTGTTGCAGCACTTTCCACAGCCACCGATGTGGGAGATGGGCATCAAGGGCACGAAAACGACACCGGTGAGTGAAACTTCGATGTCTTTTACGTAGTAGGAATTCTTCCGTCGGTTCACCGAATCGCAGTCGATTCTGCCTCGACGCGACGGCCCGCGTTCGTTCTCGAATTTCGGCCACGAAAATCTCGAACGCTCCTCCTGATCCTTCTGCGACCTGGGGCTGTGCAGCAAATGCGCTGGCACGCCTTTTTGCTTCTTAATAGCATTCTATTTACATGAGCGTCACGTCGGCACATCGAGAAAGAAGATATCTGAAGAATAACAAAATGTTTATTCTCGATGTTTATTCAATAATATCACTTACCTTGTTTTTATTTACTTACTTTATTTAGTTTACTTTGCTTTATATACTTGACTACATGAATTACTTTGCTTTTAATTCGATTTACTTACTTTATTTTACTTACTTCACTTTAATATACCCATTCATTTGAATCGAACCTCTTTCATTTATAAATAAGATAAACTGAATTGCTCTCCTGAGAAGTTAAGGTTTTAAGAACATTTACATTTTCTTATTTGAAAAATGCAATTTAGTATGTTATCAGTACCTAGCGAGTAAATATTTTGTATCTTTTAGATATTTTCCTCATTCATTTGAATCAAACCTCTTTCATTTATAAATAAGATAAACTGAATTGCTCTCATGAGAAGTTAAGGTTTTAAGAACATTTACATTTTCTTGTTTGAAAAATGCAATTTAGTATATTATCAGTGCCTAGCGAGTAAATATTTCGTATCTCTTAGATATTTTCCTCTTAGTGCATAAACCCGTTTCAACTCACTTCAGAATCGGAAAGGCGCATTTAGCGTTCGCTGTACGTATGTGTGTATATATGAGTGTGTGTCCAGAATACGGCCTCTGAACTTTCGCTTTTCGCGCGGTATGAATATTCACAATCGCGATGTTTTTCCCTCTCGATCAAATTCCTCCATCAAACGGTCTTCTAGTAACTCATGTTATTTACCGGCGCTCCCGTCCCCTCCCCGCCCATGCTTGCGTAACTGCGTCCGATCGTCCGACCCCCCTCCGACGTGTCACCGAATGCAACCGGTTGTTGCATCCATACGCTGCGCTTCCGACACGCGGCTGCGACTTAATTCCGATGTTTTCGCGCGCGACGCGAGCGGCGGGGAGCGCGGATAGAAAAATCGCTCTTTTCCTCAGCGACGATAACGTGAAGTATCTCGCGCGACCTATCGCGCGAGATTCCCACTGAATCTCGTTCCCGAACACGCGCAAGATGTCGGCTATTTGCAATTTTAATTCGCGGCACTCGGCGCGAATCGCGAGAGCGCACTCGCGCGTGCAAACGACGAGCGAGTAACGGCGTAACCTCTCGCGAGGCCCACCTCATCGATCGACGGCGGACCAGTTTCCGCAGTCTGGCCACGTCTCTCTCGCCGAAACCCCGGCAAGAAATCGCGAATCGCGAATTCGCTTTTCTCTCGGCAGAAGGAGGGAAAAACGAGCGAGTGAGCGAGCGAGCGAGCGGATGGACGGACGATGTACGCGCGCGCGCGCACGTACGTGAAGACCGCGGGGAATTCGTGAGGAGACATTTCGTCGGCCATGTTCGCGGAGATTTGGTCCAGGGTCGACTGGTCCAGTTTCCGAGTGAGCGGCGAGATTGATGCTAGAATATTATCGGCGCGCAATCCGCCGATTGATGCACTCGCGACGTCGTCGTCGACGTCGTGCTCGTTCGTTCGGATCGCGAATCATTCGCCGTTAATTCACGATAAGCTCGCGATATCCGGGGCATTAAGGACGCCTTTTTTCATGGCGAATCCGTCGTTTCCGCAACGGTCGCAGCTGCGCCTCGAGAAATTCTGTCATTAACCCGCGACACTGAGTGATTAATTAGCGCTCAAGAGCGAGAGAGAAAGAAAGAGGGGGGAGGGAGGGAGAAAGAGAGGGAGAGACGGCAATTCTTTCCGCGAATATGCGCAGACTGGTTCAATCTCGCGTAAATAAAGATCAGCTACGCGAATGTAGTTTATATTACGGTGACGGAGCACCTGTCATAGTAGTAACGGCCGGGCATTACTATACGTACACGCGAACACACAGGCACACACACACACAGACAGACAGACAGACAGCGCGGGCACGTGGGCTTTTTGCGTTGTTAGCTCTGCGCGCACTGAACAATGAGTCATGGCGAATCGCCGTAGGAACTGATTTCTCACAGACTTTTGTAATGAGAAAAAAAAGGAGTTTATGTAAGCGCGAGCGCGCGCATGGGGCACGTTGTGCGAGGATGACATAACTCGCCGAATGATAGATAGACCCCCCGAGCGAACTGAAGTTCAACAAACAACGAAGGAGCCGGTAATTGCTCGAATGTGCCTTCTCCCGAGGCACGGAGGTACATGCGCGAGACTTCCGCGTTCGTTCTTCACGGAGATACCACTGCAAAAAGCTTTATGCTAAATTTTGCGCATCGCGCACAAGCTCCAATTTTATCCACTCGCTAGTTTTTGCGTTAATCGGACTCAAGGCAGACGCGTTTATAAATAACACAAGCTATCTGTACGCTGGAAAGAAAAGAACACTTGAATATTTATTTGAGAGATATGAAGTTTATTTCTGCAGAATGAAGTTTATTTCAGTGTAAATAAACTTTTATATCCCGCGCGAATAAATTTTCAAGTATTTTCTTCTCAGTGTACGCGTAGAGGAAGAGATGTTTGAAAAATAAGAATATTTATTCGGTGGGTGTTAACATGCTCGCTCAAGATTAGATTCTTTTATTTAAATAATAGATTAAACAAATAAAAAACCAAAATTTTAAGGGAATGTATCTTCTTACTTGACGTTTTTTATTTGATTTCCTTATTTGAAAAGAATATTTCATATTAGTATAACTAAATATGTTATTCTGTACAAAATCTTGCATTCACAGTATGTAAACAAATGTCCACTCTAAATTTTGTATCGAAAATAACTCATTCATATGTTCACTCGTATGTTATTTACTATTATGTACTAGTCTATACATAATGTAAATAACACACGAATGAACATATGAATGAGTTATTTTCGACACAAAATTTAGAGTGGACTTTTTGGAACATTTGTTTACGTACTGTGTACGCAAGATTGTTTACAGTGTATTCTGTACCCATCGAGTAAATATTTTTTTATTTTTTTTAGATATCTCTTTCTCTTAATGTACACTTTACATATAAAATATGTACGTGTTGCAGATAAATTGTGTTATTGTAAGACTTAGAAAAAGTTCAGTATGAAACTGAATGGAATAGTCACACAAAATAGCACAACAATATTTTTGAAATTAACACACAGGCACATTAAACTCAACACAAATACAATTGTTGTATTTGATGTTGTAATTGATGTGTTTTTATAGTATACTACAAATTTTTCTTTGTCTCTCTTTCCTATCTCTTCTCTATTTCCTTTTCTCTTTTCTTTCCTGGTAAAGGCGAGGTGTAGATTTGAGATCTGCGTGTGCAAAGATTGATTTTGTCAATCTTCGCGCATTAGCGGCGAGCTGTCTGCAGAATTGTCGGTTATTTCGAATTATCGTGACAACGGACACGAGGAAACACAGGCGATGTGAGAAGGGGCGGGGGAAGGGAAGGCAAAGCGAGATAGAGAGAGAATTCTCCCGCGCGAGCGAGAATTTATATCCGCGCGATGTGTTTTTCCGTCTGCAAAACCGCCTTGTTGGAGATAAAACAGGAAATGTGCCGCGAAAAACTGCGTTATCAGAACGACGCGTATCAGCGGCGATCCTTAAAATCGCGCCTAAGTTTTGCTAGGCTCAGACAGCCGCGCTTCACACTTAATCGTCTTGCATATGCGCGCGATACGTCGGATTGATAGCGGAGTTTAACGACGCGTTTTATAAGCCTGTCTTATCAAATCGAAGCAGTTTCGTAAGTCCTTTATCGTGTGTCGGGTTGCAAAAATCTGCGTCTATACGTCTAACTCTGACGTCGTAATGAGACAGCTGATCTCAGGTATGCCGACAGCAAAAATATCCAAAGATTAAAAACGTTTACTCGGTGGACATTAATAACGTATTCACTTAAGTCTATATTTAAATAGATTTTTGCATTTAAATAGATTACACAATTGCTCTTATGACAAGCTAAAATTTCAAGGAAATGTGCATTCTCTTATTGGGAAGGTATCTTATATGTTGGTATTAGTAAATATGGTATCAGTCTCCAGCAAATATTTTATTTCTTAGATATTTTATTCTCTCAGAGTGCATAATCAAACGAAAGTATCATCTTCGGCGATACTTGTGATTATCAACGAATATCGCTGGTGTTGAAAAAAAAAGAAATCGCAGGATTGCCTGCGACGTCGCAGGATTGTTGTTTCGGACTTTTTCGCATGTCTAAATTTGCCAATGATAAAAGCGCTTTCCTGTCACATCGATCTTTGCGTTGCATTCAATTTTATTGTTTTATGTAGGAATAGCAGGAAGGAATATGCATGTTCTGTATATATTTTGTTCTGATCTTTTGTTCTGTATATATTTTGTACCATTGCAATCTTTCTTCGAGTTTACTAACGGCGTATTAGAGTATCAACACCCGAGATCCGCCGTTCCACGAGCCGATAACGTAACTCGCGTCTCGATTATCGGTTCGCGATAAACGTCGTTTCGCGTCCCACCTGCGCAGGTGTTAAATGCGTCGTATTGCACGGTCGTCGGTAACAGCTGGGCATCACGAAGCGCACACGTGACATTATTTCTCGTTAAGCTTTCAACGACTGAAGCTTGTTAGTGCAATTGAAAAATGAGTCGGTCTTTCGTCCCGCTGTGTTTCATAAGTTGTACTATTTAAAGATCAGAACTCGCGTCTGGATTATCGATTCGCGATAAACGTGTCGTTTCCACCTGTATAAATGTTAAGCGCGTTATGTCGCACGCTCGTCGGTAATAGCCAGGAATCACAAGGTGCATCTGATTTTAGTCCTCGTTAAGTTGTACTATTTAAAGATCAGAACTCGCGTCT